GCTGGATGCGGTGCTGGGGGGCGGCGGTTGGGATGTGGGGGGCACGTTTGAGGGGCCCCCCCAACCCACCGGCCCCATCCGTCTGGGGAAGAACGTCTGCTACGTCGTCCTGGCCGTGCTCTTCAACGAGGAGGTGAGGAACCCACTATGTGGGACCCCCCCTATACAACCCACCAATACCTGATGCCCAGCGGTCCCTGGTGCCCACCACCCCCCTCTTTTTTTCTTTTCCCCCCCCCCAGGATGGGGTGCTGCTGGTGCAAGAGGCCAAAGCCGAGTGCCGGGGGAAGTGGTACCTGCCGGCGGGGAGGATGGAGCCCGGCGAGGGCATCGTGGCTGCCATGAGGAGGGAGGTGAAGGAGGAGACGGGGCTGGAGTGCCAACCCCTCACTCTGCTGGCCCTGGAGGAGAGGGGACCCGCCTGGATCCGCTTCGCCTTCCTGGCACGACCCACCGGTGCGTGCCCCTTCTCCCTGGGTGCTCTGGAGGGGTGTGGGATGGACATGGTTCTCCTGGAGCATCCCCTGCCCGGCCCCGTGGTGGGGCATCGGTGGTCCCTGCCAGCCCCGTGATGGGCTTTGGCATCCCCTGTCAGCCCTGTGCCGGGTCCTTGGTGTCCCCTGCCAGCCCCGTGATGGGCATCGGCATCCCTTGTCAGCCCGGGGCCTGGTCCTTGGTGTCCCCTGCAAGCCCCATGATGGTCATCAGCATCCCCTACCAGCCCCGTGATGGGCATCAGCATCCCCTGTCACCCCTGTGCCTGGGCATCAGCATCTCTGTCCCCTGCAAGTCCCAAAATGGGCTTCAGCATCTCCAGCCAGCCCCATGCCAGGGCATCAGTGTCCCTTGCCAGCCCTATGCCAGGTCCTTGGTGTCCCTTGCCAGCCCCATGATGGGCATCAGCATCCCCTGTCAGCCCTGTGCCTGGGCATCAGTGTCCCCTGCCAGCCCTATGCCAGGTCCTTGGTGTCCTCTGCCAGCCCCATGATGGGCATCGGCATCCCCTGTCAGCCCTGGGCCAGGTCCTTGGTGTCCTCTGCCAGCCCCATGATGGGCATCGGCATCCCCTGTCAGCCCTGGGCCAGGTCCTTGGTGTCCTCTGCCAGCCCCATGATGGGCATCGGCATCCCCTGTCAGCCCTGTGCCCGGGCATCAGTGTCCCTTGCCAGCCCTGGGCCAGGTCCTTGGTGTCCCCAGCAAGCTCCATGATGGGCTTTGGCATCCCCTGTCAGCCCTGGGCCAGGTCCTTGGTGTCCCTTGCCAGCCCTGTGGTGGACATCAGCATCTCCAGCCAGCCCCGTGCCAGGGCATCAGTGTCCCTTGCCAGCCCTGTGCCAGGTCCTTGGTGTCCCCTGCCAGCCCCATGATGGGCATCAGCATCCCCTACCAGCCCAGTGCCAGGGGGTCCTGCTGTCCCCTGCCCACCCCATGGTGGGCATCAGCATCCCCTGCCAGCCCCGTGATGGGCATCGGCATCCCCTGTCACCCCTGTGCCAGGGTACCAGTGTCCCTTGCCAGCCCTGTGCCGGGTCCTTGGTGTCCCCTGCCAGCCCCGTGATGGGCATCGGCATCCCCTGTCAGCCCTGTGCCTGGGCATCAGCATCTCTGTCCCCTGCAAGTCCCAAAATGGAGTTCAACATCTCCAGCCAGCCTCATGCCAGGGCATCAGTGTCCCCTGCCAGCCCTGTGCCAGGTCCTTGGTGTCCTCTGCCAGCCCCATGATGGGCATCGGCATCCCCTGTCAGCCCTGTGCCTGGGCATCAGCATCTCTGTCCCCTGCAAGTCCCAAAATGGGCTTCAGCATCTCCAGCCAGCCTCATGCCAGGGCATCAGTGTCCCCTGCCAGCCCTGTGCCTGGGCATCAGCATCTCTGTCCCCTGCAAGTCCCAAAATGGGCTTCAGCATCTCCAGCCAGCCTCATGCCAGGGCATCAGTGTCCCCTGCCAGCCCTGTGCCTGGGCATCAGCATCTCTGTCCCCTGCAAGTCCCAAAATGGGCTTCAGCATCTCCAGCCAGCCTCATGCCAGGGCATCAGTGTCCCCTGCCAGCCCTGTGCCTGGGCATCAGCATCTCTGTCCCCTGCAAGTCCCAAAATGGGCTTCAGCATCTCCAGCCAGCCTCATGCCAGGGCATCAGTGTCCCCTGCCAGCCCTGTGCCTGGGCATCAGCATCTCTGTCCCCTGCAAGTCCCAAAATGGGCTTCAGCATCTCCAGCCAGCCTCATGCCAGGGCATCAGTGTCCCCTGCCAGCCCTGTGCCTGGGCATCAGCATCTCTGTCCCCTGCAAGTCCCAAAATGGGCTTCAGCATCTCCAGCCAGCCTCATGCCAGGGCATCAGTGTCCCCTGCCAGCCCTGTGCCTGGGCATCAGCATCCCCTGCCAGCCTCATGCCAGGGCATCAGTGTCCCTTGCCAGCCCTGTGCCTGGTCCTTGGTGTCCTCTGCCAGCCCAGTGATGGGCTTTGGCATCCCCAGCCAGCCCTGTGCCAGGGTGTCACTGTCCCTTGCAAGCCTTGTTCTAGGGCACCAGCATCCCCTACCACCACCATCACCCCATGCTGGGGTCTTGGTGGCCCCACCAGCCTCATGACCGGCCACTGGCCACCCCCGCCTGCCCACCTCCAGGTGGGCATCATTGTCCCCTGCCAGGGCATCCTTGTCCCCTGCCAACTTTGTGCTAGAGCACCACTGTCCCCTGCCAGCACCAGCACCATTATAGGTACCATGCTGGGGTCTTGGTGGCCCCACCAACCCCATGACTGGCCACTGGCCACCTCTGCCACCCCAGTGCTGGGGGGTCCTGCTGTCCCCTGCCCACCCTATGGTGGGCATCGCTGTCCCCTGCCAGCACCAGCACCATCACCATTATTGGTACCATGCTGGGGTCTTGGTGGCCCCACCAGCCCCATGAGTGGCCACTGGCCACCCCTGCCACCCCAGTGCTGGGGGGTCCTGCTGTCCCCTGCCCACCCTATGGTGGGCATCGCTGTCCCCTGCCAGCACCAGCACCATCACCATTATTGGTACCATGCTGGGGTCTTGGTGGCCCCACCAACCCCATGACTGGCCACTGGCCACCTCTGCCACCCCAGTGCTGGGGGGTCCTGCTGTCCCCTGCCCACCTCATGGTGGGCATCGGTGTCCCCTGCCCACTCCATGATGGGCTTTGGCATCCACAGCCAGCCCTGTGCCAGGGTGTCATTGTCCCTTGCAAGCCTTGTTCTAGGGCACCATCACCCCATGTTGGGGTCTTGGTGGCCCCACCAGCCCCATGACCATCCACTGGCCACCCCTGCCACCCCAGTGCTGGTGTCCTGCTGCCTCCTGCCCACCCCATGATGGGCATCATTGTCCCCTGCCACCGGTGTCCTGCTGCCTCCTGCCACCCCCATGATGGGCATCATTGTCCCCTGCCACCCCCATGGTGGGCATCGTTGTCCCCTGCCACCCCCGTGCTGGGACATGGCCATCTCTACCCACAGGTGGGACCCTGAAGACCCTGGCGGAGGCCGACTCCGAGTCCCTCCAAGCCACCTGGTGGCCCGGGGACCCGTGTTCCCTGCCTCTACGTGCCCTGGACATCCTGCCCTTGCTGGACCTGGCCGCCCGCTACCGCCGCGGCCCCCCGCACCCCCCCACGCTGCCGCAGGCCCTGCCCTGTCCCCTGCTCTGCTTACGGCTCCTGGTGGCCTTCACCAACACCACCGGCGACCTTTGGGTGCTGGTGGCCACCTCTGGCACCCCCCGCTTGCCCATGGTGGCTTGTGGCACCTCCCCAGCCGAGCTGCGGGGGGGTCTGCGCCGCCCCGTGCTGCGTTTGCTGCGGGATTGCTTCCCCCCGGACCCCCCCCCACCGGGACCCCTGGGGTTGTTGGGGTTGCAGCATCAAGCTGAGGGTCCCGGGGGGGGTGATGGTGTTTGTTTCAACGTGTTGCTGAGCATCCCCCCCCCCACAACGAGTAGCCCCG